TGCCATATCATTTGCGACGAAGACCCTATGGAGTTGTCGGCGTTTGCGGGGCGAGTTCAGTCTGATGTATCGGCTCTTGGGAAATCCTGGTCACGCTTGTCGCAACCAAAAAATTAGCCGCAACAGAAACTTGAGGGGCCAGCAGCTGAAACTGGCCACGCACTACAGTCGGCTGTAGTGTCACCGGCATTATTTTTCCCTTCGAACCTATCAACCTTAGAACGCTCCTCCGAATTCTGTCATCTCTGCGCCCACACTGCTCTTTTATGAAGAAGACTCCATGATGCAACACATCACTTGCTTACTTGATTTGCATTCTGTTCATCGAGTAACGACAATACGCAGACAAACATTGTGCTTTTCGACCGCCACGTAATCAGGTTAGATGAGTTTACATGTGTGCTGGTGTGGATGTTCTCGTGAGTCCGCGGTTTCTTTTTTCTCTTTGGTATCACATGTCTCCTTTGTTTCATATTACCCACTTTTCGTTATCTCATTTGGCTCTCCTTTGTTAGCCCTATAGTACATTTTTTCATTGTTCTTTTTTTGCTCCTTTCTGTTATGCTGCGTTGTATTCCTTGTCAGTTTTGTCGAGTTTCGTTTCGTCAACTTATGCGTTGGTATTTTGGCTGCTTTGGTTTCGTTGCGCAGGTGTTGGATTTTGATCGTTTTACATAATATTTGGGAAACCGCTTTCTCCATGATAATTCTTCTGGGGTCCCGTTGGTATTTACTTGTTAAATCGAGGTACGCTGTTCTTTTGACCGTGTTGCCATCCACCATGGGGGAGCTGTCTGCTACCCAACTACCTCCTTCCGTTCATCTGTCAATTATAATTCGTAATTAGGCAGGAATGCTGTCATGTATCTCAAATAAGTGTGGTACGAGGCCGTTGAAGGAATGTGGCTCACATCCACATGCCTCCCTGTTTTATTTCTCTGGATTTACACAGGATATGTGGTATGGATTGGACTGTGAGTGGTGCAGCCCCAGCCACCCATGTTCCCTCTGTAAGCACAGGGGTCCTGTGGCCCTCCCCATGGTGGCCCCAGTGATACGCGATTCCGAAGCCGGCTACCACCAACCACGAACCACTTATTTAAACACAAAACATTGCCGCTAGACAGTGTTGGTGCGCTACGTAATCTTCACTTACAAGTTTTGAGATTGATCACGCTGCACTGCATGGCTGCTTTTTAACGGGCTTTGCAGCTTCCGTTTTCAGGCTTGAAGCTGGGCCTATTAGGGAGGACTACAGGTATAGTTCCAACAAATTCATTTCTTGCTTAATTTGAAAGTTACTGATGGCATTTTTTACACACTGTACATTATCCTTCACTGCTTTTGGAGTGAAGCCCGTTGGGGAAGATTGGGGCATACATTTTAACTCGTTTTCTTCGAATGAAGAGTTTTCGGTGTTCCCCGTTTGTTTAATTTTCGTCGCTAAACTATCCTATTTATGGATAATTCATGTACTATCTTGATCCGTTGGATGATCATACTGCACAGAACCACAGAGGATCTGGTCTGCAATCATACAGCTTCAGCTAGTTCGATGCCTCTCAGGTCAATAGCTGGGCGGTTGACTGCAACTTAAGTTCAGCGAGCGTGGCTGCCTGGCTGTGCACTACATACTGAATGGCGGTGCCCGATGTCAACACGTCCGTTGCACCTTGCGATGGGTCACAGGGTTTTGCGGAGCAGATTAAAGTGAGTGGGTCGCGCAGTAAGAAGTTGCTCTGAGGTTTAAACAAAGTGGCAACTATAACGCGAAAAATATTGCCAATAGCTTCTTCTTTTAGCGATCAGTTGCTGTGGTTGATATCTCATCATACAGGTCTCAGCTTCGGAATTGGTTTGATACGACAAACATTACTGTGGGGCTCGGGATTTAAAAAACTGCGCACGTGTTTCCATGAAAAGGAGCGAAAACTGTGGTGAGGAGGTAAACGGTGATCCACACAAGTTAGCTAGGTAAACTCGAGTAAACTATATAAATGCATCAAATGAGCGTAGATAGACATGTATACGACGAGAATTATGAAAAAATTTGAACTGAGTATGAGGTCGCTGGATTGTGATTGCACTTCCTAGCGGTGCTGATACGTTTTGTGTTAGCAATTTCAGGACTTCCTCATTGCCCCGTTGTCTGGTCTCACTTTTTATCAATGAGTGTGTGTTACACTTTTATATCAAATACTCTCCAGTGACCCACCATGGTCTCTTGAGATAGGACCTCAAGGGGATTACCAGACCGATTAAACGTCTATCTTGATGTGATACCACCTCATGGCCGGAAGTTGTTAACATTGTTGGCACCAACCTTGCGAACACCTGCAGAGTGGTGGGAAGTAGACCATAATAGGACGTTGTCCGGATGTTAACGGAACTCCTTGAGCAGACAGGTATACAAACTTATACATGTCCGCACATATGTCTAATATAAGTCGATTGTCCCTTATTGGCTATGTTTGTGTCACGTTTGGTCAATCGAGAAATGATAGACAAATTAGCTAAATGATTTTAGTCCTTCCAGCTTTTATAAGAACCGCTGCTTTAAACGTATACTTTGTAGCATACCATTTCACTAGTCGTTTATGACCAGGGCGTGTTCATTTCAACTTAACATTCACCCTTAATGGGTGCATAAAACAGATGTTTGACCTGATTCGAGTTGAGTGACATATTCGATCCTGAGGAATCTCAGCGACGTTCGTCGTCACATTTGCATCTTGAATCATGATGCCCCATTGACAGGTCATCTGGTGAAGTTGACACTGGAGTAAAGCCGGCTGGAATGCGGGAGGCATTTCTTCTCTCTTCCCGTTTACTCACTGTGGAATCCCCCCACTTACGATAGTTCTTCCCACACATTATCAGTATTCAAAAAACTTCAACGAGACATTCACACATTTATATTACGTGTTGCATTCTGTGACCGGTGTCAACGTAAAAATTACAGTCACTGTGCTCTGGTGAACTTCATGGTGAATCCAGCGACGCATTATTGGACTAAGGTAACATTATTTTTCGTGCTATCCACCTAGGGGACTTGTCAAGTGGTGGTTTTTTTTTACTCATGATAAACCATTGTTTCTGTTGTACAGCTTGTTTACTCTGATCCGTCAGTAGCTACAAGTAAAGCAACTGCAGATTCAGACTGTTCGCCCTGAAGATATTCTAGCAGTGCTGCTAGTCTATCACTTTTCTCAGTCAATTGAATCCATAGCGCTTTCAAATTCCCCCTTAAGGAAAACGTATTGCTCCGTAACTCTCACATGATGGTCCATAACGCTTTCAAGTGGAATCCAGCTGGCACGAAAGCTTTTAGGTGCTATGGTCCATTGAATGACCAAATCTAAATGAACCAACATAACGCCTTTCCGTGTGCTCATCTGTTATAGCATCTGCTTATTTGAGCTTGGTCACTCAACGAACAGCAAGTACTTTTTAGGAGCGTTTGTGCCCGTTGGATTCAGCTTAAAAGCCTTATGGACCATCTTGAAAGATCTATGGAGGAACTTGATTTCCTTAAGGGGAAATTCGAATGCTCTATGGATCCAGTTGAGAAAAAAGGTATAGTAGGAATTAATGGAATCGAAGGCAGATCAACTATTGGAATGACCCTGAATTCGACTAATGCTGAGTGTAGTATATTACCAATAGCCGTAGCCCATCAACTTCTTGATCCTCCATTTCCTTATATCACAATAGCATTCGAAGTTCTGCTTGTTTGTTCTCAAGTACGACAGCGTATGTTGTGCTAAGCTTACGGATTCGTGGTAAATTCACCATAAATCGTGTTGGAACATTGGTTGGGGCAACGCGCAAACTCGCGGTACCTCAACTTTTGCCTACGTCTCTCCTCTCAATGTTAACGGAAGACATGTTCCATGAGTAGGAAAAAGTAACCTACCTGTTTACTACATCAGTGAGTATGTGCCTAAACAACGTGGGCCTCACTGTAGTGCTCAATGAACTTGTGGCCCCAGCCTGTCTATTCCGTATTGCGTGTGGTGCGAGGACAAAATGAGGCTTGCTAGGATCTCCCTTGGCGAACAAGGATAGACAGTTTCCATGAGTGTGTGACTCGAAACCTGCCACTAACCAGTCACGGTAGTTACTAATGCACTGTGCTTTACATCAGTCCAGTAACCGACGGTGTACGTGCGCTTACCGGGTTCACCGGCATAAAAAAAGGGGTTCCGCATTTGGTAGTATTCTTACTCCAAATGGGGGCTGAAATACAATCTTCAGGCACGTTCACAATAAAAACACATCCATACAGCTATTTAGGTGGGCGGGAATGCGGATATAGTGGTTGTCGGTCGATTGGGAAGCTGGTTACAGGTGTAGCAGTGTGCCAAAACCTCGGGATCGTTCAAGCCGGGATCTCGCTGATTGGCTCAGTTGCCGGCCGGTGACAGGCCGGGCCATAACATCCATTTTCGGACGAACACATATGTTTGTGCAAATAAGCCCATCCTCTATTGGTGTCCAAATGTTGCAAGTTGTAAAGATACGAGCAGTTTTACGTGAATGATGGTGGACGTTTGAGCCATGCGGCGTAGCCGTTAAGGACAGAGTTGAACGAGTTGAATGAAATACGGAGGACTGAGAGTTCATGTGCCCGAGACACATGCACATGCACATGCATACGCACACACACACACACACACACACACACACCAGCAAATTGTGCTTCAGTGTTTGTGCGATCATCCTAATGATGTGTGCCTGGGGTGTGGAGCCTATGCATCCAATGGGTTAAACAGACCAACCGGCTTTCACTCAGGTCAACGCACATACGGCTTATCCCGCTGCGACTGAAGGTGCCCTAGCCGCCTGTGCCGGATGTAGTAACAAGGTGAACTGATCGATCGTTGACGTGTCCCAGAACAAATATAGAACTCACTGACTCTGCTTGCGCATCACCGAAACAGTGGGACGCGCCTCTACCGCGTCGAGCGGCCTTCCTTCTTTCCCACATCGGTCCCATCATGCCACATAGTAAATCAAGCGCACTGTCACTGACGTGTTTATTCACTCTTTTGTTATTCTCCCTATGGACGCTTCATTTTATCAGTTTACCAGGTGCAGAAGCCGCAGCTGTGAGTTACGCCGCTTAAGTGTGATATCCGCTTCATTGGCTTACTCCTCAAACATTGGCTTGATCCGGTGTTTAATACTTTCCTTTCTCCTTCCCTCCTCGATGCTTTCAACCGCAACCCATGTCGTTGGACGGCCAATCGCTCTACAGACATGCATTCCATCACCGAACTGCACAGAGTGCACATGTGTGGGTTTACCGGGCCCCAAGGTAAACTATCAATGTATTTATGTCTCTAGTAATGCTTTACTTATGTAAAGTACTGGGATGGTTTCAACTGAAGCAACCAGGCTTGACAGAGTCCTAGAACAACGTGGTTTTTATTGTCCTGAACAAAAACATTAGTTATAATCTTATACTACAAGGTTACTTTCATTGTGCAGAAATTAGCTGTTTTTGACTACTTGATGTCTTCTATAACGAAATGCATTTAATGTAGCATTTGCCCTCTTGGTCTCGTAGTACTTGCGAGCGATAACTGAGTGGTTAGGATATGTCTGTCAGCTTAAAATGATTAGCTTCGAACGACTGGATATTGTATGATCAAAAAAGTGGATACTCGTCATTATCGGCCACCGACTTTTCTCGTTGCCCTCCTCTTGTTAGTTGAGTGCAAACCTAGTTGAGTCTTGAGTCGTTTGGTTAAAAATTGTTAGCACCGTAGTTTTACTCTCCTGGTTTCTACGACTTCATTGTAATTTCGTGGTTCAGTCAACTGAAATGTAAACATGTCGGTTGATCAAAGTACCCCAGAAAAATCACTGTTTCGCTTGGATATGCATGCAAGCCCTTTGATGCTAGCTTGCATACCTACTTTGGATCGTACTGTGCGAAAAGTGTAAAGACCTGCTTTCCTTGTAATTGAGCCTTTACAACTACGATCACCAGTTTATGGAGCAGACGAAAGGTTTGCCAGCAATGGTTTCTGACGATTTCCAGTAAATTCGTGATTCCAAACCATTGTGGGTTACGTGTACGCGTTTTTGTAAATATCTGTTCATCTAAACCTAATGAGAATGATAAATCTTGCTGAAACAGTTTGTAGCAGTCCAGTTCTTGGTCTAACATTTATGTGTGTCACGGTGTAAGACTATCATTTGAGAATATCTCATGGGATCAATCGGTTAAGTCCTCTGTATACCATTTGTATCATTTTTATTGCACTAAACTTAATATAGAGCGGTTTTATTTTACATGTGCTTACAGAGGTTTTATGAAACAGAGCTTTTGCTTTCTCCTGGCTATTTTTAGGATATATTCTTAGTCTGCAGTCGATTGTATACATATTGTGCTTTACACACCCATGCAAGATTTTCATCTACGAAACGCAGACTTGTTCGGAGAACCTTCACTGTATCAGAAGCTAACTCAGAACTGGCAGTTCAAGCTCAAGTCGCGGTGGGTTTGGAACTGCAGGGGAATCGCACAAGTGTTCCTTTCTTGAGAAGACCGTTGCATTAGGAATCGATAAGATTTTCTGAGGTCTTTATGGATCTACAACGAAACATTTGAATCACACTCTACTAAACCAATTACTGCTCACCTTAACTGCACTAGCAATCCCTGCTGTGGCAGCTGTGTGAATTAAGCAAGAGGAAAGAAGAAAAGGGTAAGCAAAGAAAACGGGGGATTGTTTGAATGAAGGAAAATATTATTGAGAGAAGGAAAGCACAGGATATAAATTCGAAGTATGAAGATGGGGTGTAGTCAGGGAAAGAGAATGGCTCCGTGTTGCCATTCAGGAGCGTCCATATGACGTTCAGTACCATTATTCGTACATACTCTGACTAGATTTTCTGGAACCGAGTTCCGACGCTAGATAACGGTGCAACCACAAAGTTTCCGCTCAATTCTCTCAGAGCACCACTTGTGCATCTTCATGGGATGATCGTAGAAATCAAGCAATCTGGCCGGATTGCATAGGCTAACAGAACCAACCTAACTTTAAAGGCGATATGGTTAATTAAATACAGTATTCACTTTACGCATATTGTATATGGTTTCCGGTAGCAAGCGGTGTGAATTTTACGTCCACTGATCCTCTCCGATGAACGGGTATATGGATTACTTACACCCGCGCAGTGAACCATTATACTTGTGTTGTGAGGGACATTTTTGTCCCCAGTTTCCTTGTGACTTTCGTATAGTTTACAACGCGTTACAGTTGGTTAGGATACAGGTCGAAATTCTTCACCGTACAACTAATTATCCATTCAAGAACCCCATTTTTTACCAATTAGGTAAATATGATCTCGACTGATATTCCGGTGCTGGAAGGAATATGCTCTAGTCAGCGTTACTGCGTTCTCCGACTTATCATATTTATGTATCTTACGCTTTTATACACTGCAGTCAGCGAATTACTGGGATAAAATGCAACTGAGGCAAACGACTGCTGTAGTTGATCCATTAGTGCAAATAACCACATCTGCCTAGTTTCGTACTAAAAAGATTAACCGCTGAATCGTTATAACGCCAATCGCTTAGGGGAAACTTAATTACTCACACAAATAAAATAACATGTAGGTGTATTAAGTTTCAAAGCATCGGCGGCAACGAAGCGGACGATGAATTCAGTATTGTAAATGGGCCTAAATGTAGCACCACAGCTGACATACTTATAAAAAGTAAACTAATTTAGACAGTATGAAGCATTTATTGCCTTTCTTCACAAGTCTCTCTTACTCTCCGTAATCTTAGGGTGACCCTGGGGTACGAGGACATACCGGCCAGCCGGGTGCAGTGGGACCTCGTGGTCTGCCGGGAATGAGAGGACCAGACGGAATCAAAGGCATACCAGGTGTTCCAGGCGATCCTGGTCCCAAGGGTATTGCTGTAAGTCAGAACTAACAGTTACGTGATTTGTGACAACTGGTATACTTAAGTGTACACCCGTGCATCGACTTCCGTGCTTGGAAACTGTCTCGCTTCAAACTAAATGTCTTCTTTTCCAAATATGATGCAGTAGCTTTGAGCGCTAAGTAAAAATATCAATTCCACCTGTTCGCTTGTGTACTAAGATGCACATCTGCTACATTTCAGGGAGATAAAGGCGTACCAGGAGTTCCGGGAGTTGATGGACTGAAGGTGAGTCGGTCAGATTTCCTCACCTTCTCATGTGTGCCTAGCACACACTCAGCTTTTGTTTCCAATGGGCGCATCAGACAATATCGTCTTTGATCCCTACACCATGGCATATCACGCTTGGTAACATCATCCTAAGCATCTACCACGGTTACTATAACCGGCGTTTTCTAGGGCAAACATAGGATTGGCATTCGCAAACCTTAAGTTTTCCTACATCAACACTCGTCGTTTACAGTGAACAGACATGAAGCGTGCACAGAGTAGCCTGGTGTGTATTGAAAGCGAAATGGGTGTTGAGGAACACTGAAGGATGACTAACAGAGAGCAAATTGAGAAGAAGCCATTATTCAGAGATGTTATTGGCTAATTGTCTTTTCCATCTTCCTATTAGATTTGTAATGAACAGTGTCCAAATCATTTGTGCTTCCCACATTATGCCATGAATGCGCACCATATCAAACCACTTAACATGTACGAAGTTTTAGATGCAACTGTATTGTTCCACGAGGCGTTTTGCTGATTGTCTCACATTTATTTAGAAAAAATCTCAAGTGAAACACTTACGACTCATCGGTGCATGTCCAATCCGCTAACTTGCTCCGTAGTTTACAAGAGGATTTACTATGTTAGGTTGCACCTAACTTGCTCAGAGTCAAAGTTACGAGTTTTTCCACCCCGGGTTTCAGGTATTATTGTGCTGTACACCTACAAAATGTACCTGCTTTCCAACTCTGGTGAATATTTAAATCGTCCGTTTACTCGTAATGTAATTCATTAACCGATATCAGGAATGGGTACGCCTTTCTCAATCTGAATCTGGACTTTTCCAGCATCACCCAACGGTGATTGGTGTATAGCCCTGTGTGCACCATAAGCTACATAAGCTGAATCCCAAAGGTGCGACTTATGTGATGGTGCGGAAATATTTCACAGCACAACGACGTCAGACGATTGTTCTTTGTGGTCGTCTCCTTATGCTTGTTCAATGAGTGTGGTCACTGATCATTATTTATCCGCTGGGGCCCAGTGTGTAAAAGAGAACAGTGTCTCATATGAGAATGCTTAATATTCTCCAACAGGGCACTATGTATTTCCACTTATGTAGATTCCTTTACTCCCTACATGAGAACCATCCCACAAAGGAAGCATAAGGTATTCTGTGTAGTGATGCTTAGAATGATCTTCCTTCTGTTAGCGAAATCAAACAAGTTATGCATTTGCAGCATCGTTTGTCCCGAACAATGAACCTGGCGTACGGTGTCAGTAGATTTGGTAAACTTTGGAGACATCTGTCAAATCTTGATGATTGACAAATAGTAGCGTAACGTCCTTTGCCTAATTTGATTCAGTCTTAGTTTACGAAAACAATTATACCCGTCTAGTTAACACGCGCATTCAAGTCAAAATGTTACTGCTGTACTCTCCAACGATCTTAGCATTAGTGGGACTTGACTAGCCACACTGTACAATATATGTCGTTGCACTGTATTTAAAACAGACACATCTGCGGGGACTCAGACATAAGGAGACATTGAGAACTGAAACACAAGGGCACAGTCCTTTTTGTTCATATTTCACTGGGTCAGGTATAGGCAGACAAAGTTTGCACTTCCACAAGCTCCGTAAGTCCATCGTCATTCCTTGATATTGATATTCACTGCATGAACAGACGCAATAGGTAAGGGCAACAAGGCAGTTGCGACAGCAACGATGATTGTGTAACCGGTGTGGTTCCTTAATTTAATTGTTTACCATCTGGCTCTGACACATGCGATCGAAATAGGAGTTGAACATTTCTCTGAGCTTTGTAAAACCACCATCAGGTCTGTTTAGTTGTATTTTCTATGAATCGGTTTCTTTTAAATGTTACCTTCTCTCCCTTGTGTCTATTAAGGGCGCACCGGGCATCAAAGGACCAAAAGGCTACCCTGGACTTGAGGGCTGCTGCGGAGCTAAGGTGGGCTAATCGTCTAGCTTGACTGCCTCTTTTTCATTGTATTGCTACTAAATGGATCCACCATTTAACATTCAGATGAATTTAAGTGTTTTAAAATATAACCAGTCATGCATTGTAACGATTCCCCCCACTGTCCCAACTCCTTAACGGTTTGTTTTTCCTGGACGATTTCGCGGTTTCGCTTATAGACTTAATTTTTGTCTCAGGCCAAGTTGCAAACTTTGACCATTTAAAAGCAGCATACATGTCTGTTGGCTCGCTTAATATCGTACGTATACAGCCTTTTATTTGATAAAAATTTCTGTTATTGACATGTCTATTTACTACATAGGGACACTACGCGACGCCCTTGCATACAAACTTGTATTGCCCTAGTTTCGCACACATTAAACTACGTCGCAGAGAATAATTTTAGAAAATAACCTAGAATTATTTTCTGAGCATAATGTGGAGTCTTCTACGCACGTGCAAATCCGTATGTTTACTTTTCAGCAAATAAGTTAATTAGAATTTTTGTGCAGCTTGTCCTCTCAACACATCTCTTCACCACTGTAGAAAACCGATTTCCGACATTTTTAAGAAAGTGTTTAAGTTTAGTATCATCTGTGGAATGTGTTTTCCGATCTCACTTGAGCGTTTTAGCGATTCTTGTTTTCTTTCGCCTAAACATACAGGGTCCCAAAGGTTTGAAAGGACTTCCAGGTAGCTACGGTTATGACGGCCTTATTGGTGACAAAGGAGTAAAAGGTGTGAAGGTAAGCAGTATGTGCAGCACTTTTCATTCTATGCACCTTCATATTTCCCGCCTTCCATGTAGAAGTACTGCGAAGACCAGCCTATATTACTTTATGTCGTCTATCTTGACGATTTCCAAAAATTAGCGCGAAGCAATTCGACCACTGCATCCCTGTTTACATTTGTGCTCCCGCGAAGAAATTGTAAAGATTTTGCTGCTGCCAACTACTATTTGTGACCTAGCTTCCTACCAATCAGTAATGAGTTATAAAAGCAAGATGTCATTAACATATAGACCATCATCATCATCATCATCATCATCATCATCATCAGCAGCAGCAGCAGCAGCAGCATCATCATCATCATCATCTTCATCATCATCACCATCATCATCATCATCATCATCATCATCATCACCATCATCATCATCGTCGTCGTCGTCATCATCATCATCATCGTCGTCGTCAACGTAACGTCACTAACCAAGCACAAGGCAGATCACGTGGACTCCAGCCTGGAAAGAGAGACGGATCAACAACACCAAGTTTTGTAGCCAGTGACTTCATTTTCTACTGCAAGTCACCTTTTGTCCACCTCGAACCTTGCGCCACCCTACATATGCTAGACAAAACAAGGCCCTCCTCGATAAGCGGTGTCCGGACATCCATAGTATATGCTCAAGCCAACGCAACTTATTCAGTGATTTCTGCTGCGCTTTGGAACTAGCAGAATAATCACCACTTAACACTCGACTTAGCATATCATCTTTGCGGACACGTTGGTGCCACCCGACACCAGCAGTGCTTCGAAGGCATCGATGAAGGCACCTCACATCTTCAGAACGAAGGGGCCAGGACTCACTACCAAACAGTAGGACGGCCGTCATTGTGGCTTTATAAATGCAGCCTTGCAGATTGAGGGAAACCCCTTTCTAAAGCCACATATGTGGCAGATCCAAGAAAGTAGTTCTAGGTTTTACAATACGTGAACTGACTTTAGTTCTTATGCGCCCATCAGTAGTGATTCAGCTGCCAAAGTAAGTAAAATGATCAACTACCTTGGGTTTCTCACTATCAAAGGTCAAAGAGTCACCAAGTGGCTGATGGTCTTACTATAACATTGCACTTTGAAGGTGTGAAGCGCGTGTCAAATGATGAGATTACTCTAGAGGCCATTCACGGTTAGTTGGGCCGCTCCAACGTCGTTAAACAAAAGACACTTTCGTCCGCATAAGCAAGATCAACTAGCATTTCACCAGGCACTATATTAACTCCTGTAGCGTGATTTCGCAAGGGTACACTCTATGGTAGAAAATAAGAGGAACATAAACAAATATCGGGAAACTGTGCATTCCTGACGAACACAATTTGTTGTCGGAAAGGCATCCGACAGGTCCCCGTGGACCGTGAGGGGGACAGTGGTATTTGAGTATAGGGTTCACAAAATGTTCACACATTTCAATGGAACACCTTTTGCGCCTTGTATTTCGGAGAGTACGAATCGATATACTGACTGGAACGCAATCTTGAAGTCGAGGAACACAGCTATTGTCCGCCCGCGGTACGTGTGGCGCTGCTCCAGCACCTGTCGCGAAGTGAATATATTGTCTATGATCCTGGGTGGAAATTTGCCTGCTCTTCTCTAATCCGGGATTCTCGTTCCGCAGTGAGACGATGAACGAGAATTTGAGCTAGTTATTTGGTCAAACAACTGTTATGCTATTACCTCTATTGTTAGCACAATCGGCGCGAATGATCTCCTTGTATATAGTTAGCATAATCTATTCACTCAAATAGCTGGGGTAACCCCTTCCTTATAGAACCGTTTGAACAGGGAGGTCAGTATTTGCAGATGACCTCATCACCCCCTTAAACAGTACAGATGCAAGGTAATCAGGGCCAGCAGCTCGAAAGCAATTAAGGGCTGTGATCGCGTTTCGGACTTCGGCCTACGATAGAGCCTCTAAACTAACCGGCCATGTCAGTCTGCACTACCTGAGTAGGAAGAGTTCCGGAAGTAGGGGGCCAAGTGTATTGCTCTCGAAAGTGCTTCGCGCAACCAGGCATACGGCGCTCTTTTCTGTGAACCTTGGCACCCGCCCTGTCTCTGATTGTCTCGCCGACGTCTGGTTTCCTGGGACTAATGGTGCGAATCAGTTGGAAGAGCTTACGATAATTGTCTACTGCAGCGGCCTCCTTCATTTCTTGGGCTCTACTGATCCACCAGACTTTCTTGTAGCTGATTATTCATTTTTCATGCATGCTTAAAGCGGTTTGTTGACTTGACTCAAATTGTCCGAAAGTAGGATACGCTTTAGTTTGCACCTAACAGTCCGTCTGGTGCTCAGAACCAGTGGGGCGTATTATTAAGGATTCCAACAGGTTCACTGACCTCTCGAATATCCAATCACTGATGCGGTGACGACTGGTAGTGTCGCGAGCAGAATCTGCCGCATCGTGCATGGCGGCCGAGATACTATTCCACTGAAGCCTAATGCCATTAAGACGAGAGCGAAGATTCGGGCGCTTGGTACACCACCCTGTAAATTTCGTCGAAAAACGACAGCTTACCAAAGCATGATCATTGTCGGCGCAAGGATTCCAGAACGAGCGACAATCCAGAATGGAACCACACCAAGGCAACAGATGGCAACGTGATCTATTTGGGTCCATCTTTGGCCAGCTATAGGATGAAGCCAATTGACACTTCGTCGCCACTGTGTCTAAAAGCCGTGCAAATAAGAAACAGTCGGCGCTCCACACACAGTTGCAAAACTCGCCTGCCGTTGTCCATACGGTCGGATTTAAGTCCATACTTACAACCTAGCTGAGTTTCTGAAGAGCCCAGGCGACCTACTTGCGCATTCATACCCTCTGCATGAACTATCCTATCTGAACCGGTAACGCTGCGAAGCAGCGTGGTCAGTTCGTGGTAGAAAGTGTCCTTGACAGTATTAGAAGTGTTTTCGGTGGGGCTATAGGCTGAAACCACTAGCAAACAAGGTCTAGAACTACAGTCAAACGTATCTAATTAGACCACTCAAGGGACTGACATAATGATGTTGCAGTGTACAGGTGGACGCTATGGACTGGTTGATGCATAGGGGCATTATTCATAAGCGAGAACGTTGGGGATGTTTTTGGCTGGTTGCCATAGACTGGTGGTCGCCGTAGCAGGTTGAATTGTACTTCGTGATTCAACCTTAGTTGATGTCGTCAAATGGAATGTACACGAACGGCTATTCACAGAAATCCAAACACACAACGATGACTCAGTCTTGGACTTGCGAATGTTCCCCCACCCCCAACTTGACTAGTGGTTGCCGCATCATCGTCTCCAGATGCGTGCAAACAATAGCGAGAGGACAATCCGGGCGCATTGAATTCAAAAACCCCATGCGTGTCATTGTTCCCAGTTTTGGAAACGTAACACAAGTTGAAACTCAGGGTATCCAGCGTGCTTGAGGGTGCAGCCTGTTGACCTATTTATCTTCGAATGCGAACGTTAAACGCCACCAAGGTAACGTGACAGCGTGGTCTTATGGGGAGCTGATGTGGATAGGCGTCCAGTGGTTGGTGCGGGATGGTAGCTGCAGATGGTATGACCCCAGTGGGTTAGTGGCTTCTTTCAATTAAGCTTGGAATTACGGAAGAAGGATACATAATATCGATGTGGAAAAGAGTAAAACAAACAGATGGATAAGTAAGATCGGGGACGCCCGCAGTAGCATGCTTTTGCTAATCCGCCCTTCTATATGCCGTAGTAAAGACTACCCTTGATAAGATGTGCGACAGCCGCTGTAGGATATGGTTAAACGTTGAAGAATTAGTCATGGTTGTATGAGGGATGAGATACTGCTACGGCACCCGGGACGAATAATGTCCTTAACCGAAGCCTTTGACCCGAAAACCTGTCCGCAACGCATCGAACGTGACAGTGATTTACTTTTACAGAAATGGACACTATCGCATTTCAGTCCCCCAACCTGGAGGACCACGAAACTGAGTTCGCCTAACCTCTAACCATTGATCCACCCGGTAGGTGTTGGTCTCGAGTGGCCATGGGGCACTAGGCAATAGAGCTCAAAAGGTCAAGGAGGTACGCAGACCTTCGCACCACCTTAAGGTCGTCTCGTTGCGAAGGCAAGATAAAGCCGAGGCGTATATTATTATTACTATTATTATTATTATTATTATCTATTGAATAATAATCAAGGTCCATCGGCGCAATCGAATCAACCCATGGTATGGCACATACACACCAGTGCATTCGACCGCTAGGCGAGCCCAGTTAGGTGAGGATTAGAATTTCGTTCGACTGGTTCTGTTACTACTCAGAAGTAGTTTAAACATCAGTGAAATATGTTTAAAGAACTCCATCGTACCGCTTCCACTGAAGACGGTACCGCAATCTTATGAAATGCATATACACTGTAATTCACCATTTCACTTTACCCGGCATCCTTGCCCACAGCTGCAAGCAAATTGTATTGATCTGTTCTGACAGGGTGAAAAGGGCGACCCGGCGCCACTGGATTCCAGAGATGGGATTGGCCTAATGGGTCTGAAGGGTGAAAAGGGAGTACAAGGTCCGAAAGGCTACCGCGGTGAGCCAGGGTCCAAAGGGGAACCTGGATTTCCTGGCCCTCAAGGCTATGATGTAAGTCAATGCTGTATGCATCCCGGCACTTTCACAGTTTCCAGCCCATGTTCATGTTATGACAGATTAAGCAAAATCTTGGTTTGTTCACCTTAATAGACAGATTTTCAGCAATTGCACCATCACTATGACTATAATAAAAGATGACACCAGTCGAGCAGTTCGTATTATGATGATGACTGTCTTCTGGTCGACAGGTAAACGTAACGGAAGCTACAATAACTTATTGCTATATGACAACGTATGAACGTGCAGTAGAAAGTGATAAGGTCATTTATAGATCATTTGGCATTGACAGCGGTGCTTATATTATACAACCAGTGAAATAATTGTCGTGCTAGTGAACAGGAATAACTCCCTCCCTTTGTTTGGCCAGCTTTGCTACTTTTGAAGAAAAAACGATCGCATGCTATAAGGGTCGTAACCAGAGCGATCGAGGTGAAGTTTGCAACGAAAATGATTAGTCTGCATAAACTCTCATGACTTCATCCAGGTAACTAACGATTGTTTTTTCAGGGCCCTAAAGGCGAACGAGGAGACACCGGTCCAAAGGGTCCTAAAGGGGAGTCGCCGAAGCCAATAGTATTGCCTTACGTGAGTCACTCTCGGGATTTTGTACGTAAGTACAAGTTGAGCTTTATTCATGTCTAATAGGCCGAGGATCACGCATTTTGGTGGCCAACTACAACCACTGGTGCACCGTGTATGCGTTCCTTTCTATTCATATTAGAACAATAAAGTGAACGAGTGAGGTAGAGTTCAGGAGACATGCATGCGACTCGAACATACGCAAGCAGCCTCAAGCAGCACGGTTTGTGTGCAGTGGCCTGATTCTAACGGTAGTTTTAAGATATCGAGTAGTTTAAGGATGCTTCTCTAAGCACTAGGTACCGTATTTCAACTCATTTTTGAAACATCAGATCTTGTTCAGGTAATCAAATGAAAAATTGTTATTTCCTCTGATTTCATTAATACGCTTCAGGGTGGGTCGTGCTGAGCTATCTGCTACCATTGACTGTTTAATTAGCGTGAGAGCTGCATCATTTGATTCAGTCGCTTACTTATGGATACACTGACTGATTTATCATACACTGTACAGCTTCTGATAATTACTCTGCACACAGTCCAAACAAACGTACCCTTTACTCCATGGATACAACTTATATATCATTTTAGGCTGAACCTGGTGAGAAAGGCTTCAAAGGTGAGAAGGGAACTTCTTATGACGAGTCTGTTCTCATCAAGGGACAAATGTGAGTCCTTGAGTAAGCCATTGTATAGCATTTTTAGTACTATTGATCAAGAAGAAATCAAAAACTAATTTGTAAAAAGGTTAACAAAGTACTTTTTCTCCATGAAATTTATGAAGGGTTGGGATGAAAGGAATCATGGGCCAACCAGGCCCACGAGGGGACCCGGGCGACGCTGGTGAGAAAGGTCGACGTGTAAGTTGTTCCTGGAATGATTGCAACAGTACAAAACCAATATCATGGTATGCCTTCCGCCTAGTTAAACTGACACAGTGGCTTTACAGAGGCAGACATATTTTCATGCTCTGTTTTGAGTGCATCGGTAGTATAATGATATGCCACTTTTAGCTCATCAGCTTTGACGTACTATTTCAAGAATCCTGGATTATGGTTAATACAACCCAAAAATAGGTAGGAAGTTACGAATGTGTTATTGAAATGGTAGGCAAATTGACTCAGTGAACTATGTCTGTTACAGTGTGTTAAAGTAAAACTAACTCTCCATCCACATTATCTCTGCCGGGAGACAGAGAGAGTAACCCACATTTTTCAACTACCTCCCTTCTACCGCTGACTCATCAGCGCAGATATACGCGTTCGCAAACCCAGCTGAGGATCCAGGTCGGCTACTTGCCGTGCCAACAAGCAGGCCGCTTGTGCACTCGACACGAAAAGAGAACAAACAACCGTACTGACTTCACTATATAACTTTCAATATTTTTACGTCGCCATTGCTGTAGGGGTTCAGATCACTGACTTCATATGTTTAACCTGCAGATTATGTGAAAAGATACGAATGAAATTCGTAATCGATGTATAGTTTATTTCTTGTACAAACTATACGATAGCTTGTTGAATCAATTTCCCACAACAGACAAAAATTTTAACCACAAACCTGTTTGCTCCTATTTATGTCTTGATCATTGCAAATCCATTAACGAGGTTATCACTCGAACGGCTTTGCGCGATATCATCGAATCTTTTGCGAAGCTTATTTTGAACAAGAAAGGGTCACAGGAGAAGCTGTTTGAAGCTGTTTGATCCTGGAAAACCCTGGGGCAGTCAGGGATGGACATTTTCAGATTGAATCCGCGTAGCCAGATCAGGCTAAGATCGGGACTTTTAGGTGGCAGGTTATGGCACGTGATTAGGTGGATGGTTATCAACTTTCTCTTTGGTTTTACTGGGGCTCCAAACTGCATACTACCCATCTCTAACTACTAAAGATTATGAGTTTAACGTGCTGTTTTGCTACGTAACCTGGTTACGGCACGTTGTTTAACAATGCTGCCAGGTGGTAGCCCACTTAACGATTCCAGACACGTAGACCTCGTGACCGGTATAAAGTTGAAAATTGATGCCATTTCAGCAGTCGAAGCAAATTCGAACATGTTCCTTGCTTAACGCAATTTGAAATATGTTCCAACAGGGTACAGCTGGATTCAAAGGTGTCAGTGGTGCTCCTGGTGAACCGGGCGAGCCAGGTATTATGGTGAGTTTGTCTCGGCCTGTGTTTTGCACGTGAACCGTGAATGGATAATTTTTTCCTTTTGCCACATGGGTTATCACCGTGACCTCATCATATGCACATTGTGGAATATGCTCTAACGACATTCACTTAGGGTAGTTCTACAGTAACTTTGGACAGTAACGGGACCATCTTACACAAAATATTACCGCGCGATTATATACTGATGAGTAACAGCAATGAATGTGTACCACTATACATATAAATATGTGTTATATATCGGGTTTAAAATGTATCTTCGTGACAGGTAAAGCGATTGAAACACGTATTTATCTTCAGAAATACAGATATTCTTTTCGTTTCTTCTTGCTCACGCACTGGACGACCAAAGTGTCATCAATTGTGAATCACATTTAGGTGATATATTTTCGTGGAATAATAGTAGCCAGATCGCAATTGCGGCGGTCACTAGTCATACAGGCACATTTCACTTATTTGACATGATCAGTATACACCATTTCTAATCGGTACTTCCCGTCACATAGCCAGTAAGCAGCTAAACTGAGAAAGGTATACACAGCCTGTTACCTATCACTTACTCGGCTTTCTGATTCCAGTTACATTTACTTCTGCTGACAGGGTAAATACGGAAAACCTGGCGCACCAGGTCTTCCGGGAGTATCTGGTAGGCCGGGTGAAGATGGACTGCCTGGTCCGAAAGGTTTACAGGGCTATCCGGGACCCAAAGGAGACAAAGGCTACCCAGGCAGTCCAGGGCCCAAAGGTGAAAAAGTAAGCATTGATTTAACTGTTTTTCGGTAACTTCCAAATGAATCAGCGATTCAATGTGAGGACCATATGCTTCATTAAATAGTGTGTTAATGGAACATATGTAAATTTCAGACTAACTTGGAAGAATAGACTGCTCGAAATGGGAAACTAAGCGTTTTTCTACATGTGTTAAACCAATGCCTGGCATCCCAAACATACACCAATTGCTGCTTAGACCCCTACATCAACAGTGGATGCGCTTAACCTCATGTGATCAACTCGCTTCCCGATTCTTTGTATCCTCGGTCATAACTATGAGGTCTCCAAGTGATGCACTTTTGTGCCCCTAGCGAGCTGCGCAGCAAGAGTGGTGGGTTATGACACAGCATCAATTGTTCAGCATTTGAATGAAATCATTTGGTGGAATAGTCTGTTTCGTTTAAGATTTTTGTATGTATATGCTTGATTGTCAATTTGCTGTGTGTCATGGTTGGCGAATCATGATGCTGTCGCTTCCAATTGAAAGTGCTTTTGAACCATTGCCACTCTCCTTCGACGTTCAGCTCAATTCACTAATAAGCTTTCTGCATGAGAGAATTTGAGCAGCCTGAACATCATATGCACAAATAACATGAACATGTGTCCAATAGCACTGGTTCTTTTGTGGATATTCCCATAGGGTGCCAAAGGTGAAACAACGGATGTAGAAGCAATGCCAGGTCCTGATGGTGACGTGGGTGACCCGGGAGCAACCGGACCACCGGGAGATCCAGGTACGCGTAAAAATCAGAACTTTGTGTACCGTTTGCTTTTCAGATGCATAATGAGATTCTTTAGATCCCTCAGGCACCTGTTTTCTTGACCCTTAGATTCTCTGATCGTTAGCTAGCATGTGCATATGAACGAATTCGCACATGAATCACACCTTTATTCATTAATCACTCCTTTAAAAATTTGCGTCATTCTTTATACAGTCATACATATGCCGTTTGTATCGTTACAGAAGACGGTTAAGTTTGCCTCACTATCTAGTGTTGTTGGCAGAACCGAACTTGTTTCTTTGGGAACCAATTCGTGCTGGTCAATGTGCCGCTGATTTTTGGCTCTACTCTATATATGATGTTTGCGCGCTAAATAAAATGGCACCTGGATCAAAGAACTGAGCGTGTAAATTCTCACATAAAACCAGGATATGATACACTAATTTGGGCTACCCGTTATTTCGTTGCATTACCTTGACGCCGGACTGAATAGGGTAATTTATTAAAGTATGGACATACAAGTTTGTAAAATATTTCTAAGTGCGAACCAACATGCATACTGCCTTGCATCAGAAAATGAAGCAAATTTCAGGAGTGCCATGGGTGTGCCATATTTTTTGACCGGTACATTTTCATACATAACCACATAGAGACTGTTGGTGTGCTAACATTTTTCAACCAGATGATTGACTTCTTTCAGGTCCTTTTGGACCAAAGGGAATTACTGGAGACCCAGGAGAACGCGGTGACCCAGGGCCAAAGGGACAGCGGGGTATTGGTTACATGGACGCGATTTTGGGCGAACCAGGACGAAAAGGAGAAAAAGGTGAGGAATGACGATCTTACGCAATGCTGTAGTTGGTAGGTGATTACTACTCTCAGAGAACGATCAAATGTTGTCAACTTCTTAGTCTTTAGATCCATACGAACCCATCTAACTGAAAGGGATCTTTCGGACTGCCTCTTATTGCAATAGGATTTCTTGAATCTGTTTCATTGTTACCGGTTCGATGAGAGATTTAAGGTCAATAATCGAGATACGACAGAAGAGGCCACTACTCATCATTGCTGTTAGCGTGATGATGCTCGTATTCTGGTAGTTAGTTATCTGATCGCTATATGTTATCTTTACGCATCTTGTAAAGAGTGGATACAGATTGTTACTGTCTGAAACTCGCTTACCGCCTTTATTTGACCGGTGCCCGACGAGATGAGGCGTCTGGCTTGTAGCCCAAAGATCACCGGTTTTAATACGCAGGCGACCTCACAGTAGTCTTAGCCAGGGCATTACTAGTGATGCCCGCTTGACAGTGAAGCGTCGATGCGGTACACAGAAGTACTAGGGACCTGTTTGCAACCATAGACCAAGATGGGTGTATATTAAGGTGAAAGTTAGGAGTGCGAAGGCGGGAAGTTAGTGGGTAAATATATCGACTAGGGTTAGGGTTAGGCTATTGTATCACGCTAAACACCTTGCTCTGAAATACATTATGAAATAATGGTTATTTTGTAGGCATCTTAGCGTTTGAGGAATACTTCAGATTTAATCCTATTGATTCCTGACTACTTTGCATTATATCTACCACTCAACTAAACTATGCCGAGCGATACAAATGATGTGGAAACAGTCTAAGCCAACCTGCAATGCCACTCTACAGCCAGTAAAATAAATGCATACAGTTGCCCAGCTTGGTAGGCCAAAGCACGGCAAAAATTCCGAATCGCGCACTTTAGGTAATGCTCACGCCCCTGCAAGGCAGGACAGAGTTCACCATTCGCTTCGTGATGTTCGTTTTAATCTCCTTATCATAAACCCTCCCAGTTGAAATTACCTGATATATCGAGACAGTCTACTAACGAACTCGACACTGATTTAATAGCTGTTCCATAGTCATTGGTCAATAGTACCTTGCGGATAAAATGCCCAGGCTTGACGTATCCCGCCATATGGTAGGTCAATAGTTTCAATAGAGAAAAACCATCATGCACACTGAATAAACAAAACAATGAACTTTCAAATCACAATTTTACCCATCTGAATCGTTCGTATATGGTTTTATGTTATTCGGATCGCTACGACCGTTGGCTTTCCCAGCAAAAAGAGTGTGATTTGATGTGGTTTGGTTTTCCGAATGAGCATATGGGTCAAATGAGTTTGGTGATACAGTGTAATGCGGCCAGCGTATTGTGGACACCATTCTTGCGCATAGATAATGTAGGGTCTGAAATGATAGTTTTGGGAGGGAATTTTATGTGTAGTAGACATGCGACGAGAAGAAATTCCGTCTACAACACAGTCAACTGTATTGTCCTGCCAATTCGATTCGGTTCCCTCTCAAACTGTTGTTATAGCTGAGCTTTAACACATGACATCACAAGTGGTAAACCATTATATGGTTACCATGCAAATGACGATAGCATACATTGAGAATTCCTAGTGCTCTTGGTCGCTGTTCGTATAACTAGTGGTATAGCCATTTGACGTTGCTGGTAGCTCGATGTTGCGGAATCTGCTGTACAACACGGACCTACTTATTCCATGGCTGCTGCACTTGAATTGCATTTTCCACGTGAGAGCGTATGTATTTTAGGAGTAGCTAGGAGGAAATGGATTGGTCGAAGTTACCAGACGATCTCTGCAAGATCCCCACACTTTGGACGCCCTACCTGGATGCTACTTCGGGCTGCACCGAACAGCCGAGCTCTTCGTGGACCAGTACACTGAGATCCTTCTCGCGTAAATCGTGCTACAGTTTCTGCTTCTCCGTTTGTACGTGTGAACCACTTGGTGAGGTAGGTGGAGCACTGGAGATTTAACCGCGTTGGATTAAAGTGACACTACTATGCCCACTGTATCTCAAAGTGGGGCTACTAAGAAACAGCCGGTGCTCCACACACAGTTGCAAAACACGCCTGCCGTTGTCCATACGGTCGGATTTAAGTCCATACTTACAACCTAGCTGAGTTTCTGAAGAGCCCAAGCGACCTACTTGTGTATTCATACCCTCTGCATAAACTATCCTATCTGAAAAGTATTCGAACTGTATTCGGCGGGGCTATAGGCTGAAACCACTAGCAAACAAGGTCTAGAACTACAATCAAACGTGTCTAATTCGACCACTCAAGGGACCGACATAAAGTTGTTGCAGTGTACAGGTGGACGCCATGGACTGGTTCATGCATAGGGGCATTATGCATAAGCGAGAACGTTGGGGATGTTTTTGGCTGGTTGCCATAGACTGGTGGTCGCCGTAGCAGGTTGAATTGTACTTCGTGATTCAACCTTAGTTGATGTCGTCAAATGGAATGTACACGAACGGCTATTCACAGAAATCCAAACACACAACGATGACTCAGTTTTGGACTTGCGAATGTTCCCCCACCCCCCAGCTTGACCAGTGGTTGCCGCATCATCGTCTCCAGATGCGTGCAAACAATAGCGAGAGGACAAATGGAGCGCACTGAATTCAAAAACCCCGTGCGTGCCATTGTTCCCAGTTTTGGAAACGCAACACAGGTCGAAATTCAGGGTATCCAACGTGCTTGGGGGTGCAGCCTGTTGACCTATTTATCTTCGAATGGCTTCTTTCAATTAAGCTTGGAATTATGGAAGGAGGATAAGTAATATGTATCTGGAAGGGAGAAAGCGAATCAGGGGGATACGTTTTTGCTAATCCGCCCTGCTGTATGCAGTAGATAAGGCGACGCTAGATTATCTGCGCGTCAGGCTGATACAGGATGTGTTTGAATTTTGGAGAAATATGAGGGTAACGACGTTGTCCTATGCCCGAATATTGACGAGAAAGACGTAAATAGATAAATAGATGAACGTTTATCCTCGGCGATCCGAGACACCCCTTCATAGAACGTTGATCACAGGCGGATCAGAGATTTCGAATACCATATCAGATCCTGACTTTTGGAAGGATAGCAAACACATCATAATTGTTTGGCTGAATCGAAATGATGTTGGCTGACCTTTAACCGTTCTCTTGTTTTGGTAAGATACTACACTTAGATGTCCGTCGCTTAGCGATCGGTCGAGCTTAACGATTTTGAGCCAACAGTCTGAAAGCTGCTCGATCGTTGCAGAGGCGAACTGAAGGATAGCATGCAATTGATTTGGATCGACATTGAACGAAGCTCGAACGCTGGCCAAGAATGTACTAGGAAGGAGATTGGTTCTGTACCTGTGAGTGATTCTAATTGACTCGAGATATAACATGAGTTTGCGTTCTATGAATAATGCATTTCTGATCGAGGTCCAGACTTTGACTTTTTGATACACAGTGGGCGACTTGACATCTCTCACATACGAAACAGCTACATCACAGGAAATAGTGGCGAAACATGTACTGTGCACGCTACATATCACCGCACTGAGGATGCCACCTCGCATGGTGGTGAAACGTTTGCGTTAAAACCGCCAAGCTCGGAGAACAAATGAACAATTGATGTACTGTGTCGTATGAAACTTGGTCCCTGCTCGTACGCTGGGCTAGTTGTGATAGAACAATCAGACGGTTTTATCACGTTGTTTACAGACAAGAACTTGTTGATGCTTTTGCAAAAATCGTGTTATCGGATACAGGCATATAGTATGAGTGGTATCTGTTTCCAGACTATGGCGTTCCTCTTGAAGAATAAGTTGGCTGACCTGCTTGTCCTGGATTTGCATTCCGCCATTGAGTTCTCTTTGTTTTGTGTGTGTTCTTGGCTGCTTATGACATTAATGTCATGTTGAGATTGGAAACGTGTATATTTCTGTGCAACATGTTGGAATATGTAAAAGGTTTTGCTTTATGCGCTGTCGTCGTAGCAGAGCAAGCTTGAGTTTATCACATCGTTCAGAACATTTTGGTTTTTCAGAAACACCCGTGTGGCGCTTTGTGAATGCTCTCTATCATTGTTTCAGTGCAATGCGATCGCGCTTGTTTGAGCTGCTATACACGATTGAGCAATATTCCAACTTGGGTGGAACAACTGATGCATAAGAAGGAAAAATCGATTCAAGTATGAATGAGTCGTGACTCCCAATTCAAATTTTTGTCTTACTCTCGCGGTAACATATCCTACATGTTCACAGAAGTCAATTGATCATGAGTATCGCAATCCGGTAGGACAGAGATTAAGTGGTTTGCCATCAAGAGTCAGGAAGCTATGAGTCAAATCGCACTTGTAGAGAAAGACAATTTCTATTTTGAGCACCAGGTTTGAAACGCATGGTGGTCGCGACAGATCATGTTGACAGCCTCGTTGGAGGCAGTCGGACGGAAAGTGTATGCGATTTTAACGTAATCGGCAAACAGGTACGGTGTACCGAATTTGACTACGTCGAAGATCTCGTTAACGTATATTAAGAACTGAAGTGTTCGTCGCCCGCCTGAATGGCCGCTTGATTCACAATCAAACCCGAAGTCGCTGGCTCCCCAGAGGACAGAGAGAAGACCGGATCGGACGAGCACAGCAACAGGAATGAATTAGCAAATTACGCCGTTCAATATAAAGGTAAAATGGAAAGTTCGTGAATAGTATTTAAAGCGACCGTGGAAAGCTCTGGAAAGGTTAACTTACGGCCAATAAAGGAAGGTGGACCTAGCGTTCATTGGCCGTTTCTCCTGGTTGGCTTTCTGTTCACCCCACTCAGGGCGGATGAGTTTGGATCGCCGGCCGCGGCGATGGAGTCCTGGCTTGTTCGACTCGCGTATTCCTTCCTAACAATAACAATAGCCTCCCAGGGACACTTCCTTGTATCACACCACTGCTGACAGTTGTAGGCTCAGACTTGTATTCTCCAATTTGTACCACCTGTGTACGGTTTGTAAG